TAAAGCTCTTTAACGAAGGAGCGACAATGTGCGTCTTTTGTGTCTAGACTTTGAAAATTGAATAAATTAGGTATATGCATATTAGTTTACATCAAGGGAGCGTTATATTTTAGAAAGTTATGAATGAGTGGTGTTGAAAGACATCAGCGCCATGTTGGGTCATTAACTGAGCGAACTAACGTTGAAACTTTTGGTACTATAATTCAGTTAATTTAGTAATTTTATTATAAAAAGCGTTTATTAGCTAATTATTTAGTTTATTAATAAACAATTTAATTGCGCTGATAACCTTATTGACTTCGAATTAATGATAGAAATGAATTGTTGGCTACACAAAATTTTCCAAATTTTAAATTCGCAACAATTATATAATTCAGTAATTACGTATGTATAATAAAACATATAAGCGGAAAGATATAGTTTCTCTACCATAACCGACCATTTGCTGCCATCAACTTCGAGATAATATCAGCCTGTTAACTGAATATCAGATTCTCTTTGTTGCGATATTTATTTATATCGCGAAATATAAATAAGCGAAGACAATGAAAAAATTTATGGTTTGATAAATCTTACGACATTTGAACGGTTGTTGAAATAATGACAACGGTTGACAAAATTTCATGGAAATTAAAATAGTTGTAGGTGAGGTATAGGTGGATCTTTACACAGAATGTGTTATGAAATTAATACTTAAAGAGATTAGCGAGAGAAGATAATGAACTGAATAGTGTAAGAGTTTTAATCATAAAATAGCGATTTTATACGAAATATTTAAGCTACTTTATGTACTTTTCGTATTCGTTTATTTGCATTTGTTGAAAGTTGCCGAACTATTTATCAGTTTATTTTTCGTTTCCTATCTAACTCTTCAAATATTTGCGAAATAGAAATGGATGAGATAATAAATTGAGGTGCTAAAATTGCATAAATATAACAAGTTTATGTATATTTAGGGTTCATAATATTTGTGAACCTCTTTAATTTAATCCTACATTATCTAATGATTCGTTACGTGAAAGTAATTTTAAATTGAAGAATAACATATTAAATAAATCTTTTTTTAAGCAACCGGAGTAAATTGGTATGGATTATCGCCTAAAATTACAACCTGCGGGTTATTACTGAAGCAGGAAAACAGTTATTTCGAAACTGCCGCAAATCAGTATAAATATACCGAGTTTTATGCGTTAAAAAAACTGTATGAAGCTGATGACGGATTATTTGCCCGTCATCAAAATGCATTTACCGTAAATAACATGTTATTACTTTTTTATCACAAACCGCGTGAAATTGGAGAAACGTTTTTATGATTTACCAATTATTATTATTATCGTCCAATATCAGGTATGTATAAGTACAAGTAGAGTACAAACAGGTGTTTCCTCCGAGTGCATTTTACTCGAAATTGCAACTATTTCGAAAACGAGCGTATAGATAAGTGATGATTTAACAAAAAAAATTACCCGATGATGACAACAATTTCCTCCAAATTTCCTCCTCGGGCGCGAACAGGTCCACTTCACTGGTCACGCAACGTTAGAGACTATAACTCCGCGTTACAGAACGATCGAGTGTCCGAAAAGGACGAAAAAAGGATGTCGTTAAAAGCACGGTACTTTCGTATTCGTCGAAATATATCGCAAAGTTAACGGACCGGCGGGCCTTTTTCGAACTCTCGCATAAGCCGGAGCGACAAAACGCACGCGACTGACCGACTCTCGCTGAGCCATGTTCGTAATCTAGGAGAAGGTACCGCCTCGTTGCCGACTCCTCCACTCCCAAATCGATATCGATTTAATATAAAAATATTACAACCCAAAATCACGCTTTAAACTAAACCAACTTTCATCGAGTTAACTGCAAAAAGCTACACTCTTTTCGAAACCTTCTAAAATCGCCCACAGCCAAGCTAGTAACGCGAAATTTTCATCAGATATACCCTGTTGTATTTCCTTTGCATCCTCCAAGTACCATCACCCACATTCAACTCCCAATAGCTAAACCACCCGTTTGAATTAGACCATGTTCGAAAACCCTTTATACTCTCATAGAAGCAAAACTGTAAATATTCCCGTCGATTTGGCAACACTGCGTGCGGTTACTTAACGAAATCCTTACGCCTCCGCTTCTCTCACGCGTGAACCTACCTGATTCGGATGGCTCGTAAAAATCACGGCGCGTCCGCTGATAACTGGATAGCGGAAAGAGGAAGCGCCGACGAAGAGGAAGAGGAGGAAGAAAAAGCGAAGATCGGGGGCGGGAGATCAAAGCGAAAGACGGGAATTATTTTCGAAAAGATAAACATAAATAGTTCGGCTTCGAAGGGCTGTTCGTACGTGAAGTGAAAAAAATATAATTAGTAGGACCGTCGAGCTTTTCTTTGATTCAATTTAATTGCGTACATGCTGTTTTTTTTTCAATTAATTGCGAGTATTAATTTTATGAGCGACGAAGAACTGGGTCAAAAATACGTGGAATAATTAACGAATAAAAATAAAAATGTCCTAATTGTTTATTGTGAAGTGAAGCGTAAATCCTTAATTCCATCGAAATTGGAACAATAAATTCATTAAAAATTTTATTAAACCGTTTAAGAAAAGTAACAAAACTTTGCGTTTATTTTTCTAATTCAAAAAAACCTCCAATAATTCCGGAAGCTGACATTTATTAACACCAACGCTTTCGAATCTATAAATACAGTTTTTTATATAAATACGCGGGCTTCGAAAAAAATTGTAACAATAATCTCGGCTTCCTTCCGGTATACATTCTACCATCAGTTCATTTAGAGCACCTGTATTTATTTTACGAGCATCTAAATCTAACACTAAAACGGTGTTTACATGTGCGGGCTGAGTTTATTATTTCGATTTGGGCTAATGTCGGGAAATTTAAGTATTTAATAAACTCGGAAATTTATCGTTTCCAAACAATCGGGCGCTGTTGAACTCGATATGAAAACTAGAAAGCTTTCGGGTCGATTCGAAGTTAAAAATATTCGAGTAAACACTGAGCTTTTTTGCGCGTAACTGAAGAGCTTTTTTCAGTTCCAGTAAAAGCTTTAACTACAACTTCCACAACGTCGCCTACGTTATACTTTTTTCCCCGTTGATTTTCGGGTTATTTCAGCAAATTCTACATGTCCAACGGTTATTCTGCCAAAGAGAATTGATATCAAATCGCAGCCCCATAAAACATCCCTCGCTCATGAATTAAACATCGGCGTAAACTTTGATTTTTGATCACCCGAGATATCATTTCGTCAACATTAACTCGGCTATAAAACGAAACAAACGATTCATAAGGGTTAATTAAAGTTATTAAAATTTATGCGCGCCTCGTATCAGGCCAGGACTTGTATACTCTACAGTTTAATTTATTCCGATGATTGGAAATTTAATTAAATCCCGCGAGTCTGTTAAAGGAATAAAGTCGAACTATAACGAGGTTTTACCTAAAACGTAATTAACTGATTTATATCGTTCTATTTATTGTCAGGTTTAAATTATCAATCCTTTATTCAGAGCTGGATTGAAAGCGGAAACTGGCCATCTAAATGGTTTTTTTCTTCGCGTCTCCTTCAAAGATTAATGTCCTTTTATCTAGGATTCGGATTATACAGGTCGGAAATAAAGCCTATCTGATTGTAGTCCATGGGCCATAGAATCTAGATTTAGCTTATGTATTGGAGTTAGTAAATATTTTATGTGCAAACAAGTTATATTTTGGGTACAGATTAATTTTCGAAGGGGTATAAATTTATGTCAAGGAAATTTTTAGTTTGCTTTGGATTCATAAATTTTGATTGTTTGATGTTTTATGCAAATATTTATATCGAAATGAATTAGCATATGATTAGAAATTAGTTCAGCAGTGCTATTTGATTGTGGATTAAAAATGGGATAAAAAATGAGCAAAAAGTGAGCTAAAAATGAACCGAGCTAATAAGCTAAAAAATTATAAGCAATTAGTTCAGTGGTTTGATGGTGATATTTTACCGAAATTTCTCATCATCTCTGAGGCTTATATTTAGCTCTGTACTATTAAATACGAAGAAAAATTGTAAATGTCATCGTGGACAAACGGCCATTTAAGGAGTCCGAGTTTAATCAAACTCTTGAAACGATCAATTTTTTAGAGGCCGACCGGCCCGAAATGGTTTTTGTTCCTCTAACTTTCCCTCGGGGCATTTCCCATTTAACGGCTGTTAAACCGGCGTTAATCCCGCGTTTTTATTACCGAACATTTTCAAGTTTTCAATACAAATTTCCAACACTTAATTACGCTTAAACAATAATATTAGCCCCGACAAGCTTGTGGGATGTCGTAGGTATTCGGATAGATCAAACAGCGCAAACCGCATTCCATTTCAACACGATATTCCGCGTATAATGCATAAGAGGCGCATTAAACGATGTCATTCATTAAACCCCATTCATAATGAATTGACGTTCGACGCTTTTGTGAATAGATCGGTATTTGATAACACAAGACTGCATAATGCGCTTATTGACGCGGATCAAACGCCCGGAGAGAGTAATTGACGACATCGATCGATAATTTACTATAATAATTTCGCTATAAATTATTAAAAAAAGTCTTATTTCGCACGGTTCTATAATCGAATTACCGGTTTTTTTCCCGGATGGCTCGGGGGCGTAAATAATGATAAAGTTACGAATCAACATGCGAACTTGTAACAATAAATGAATTGGGAATAAATTAAAATAAATTATCGGTGCGGATTGACACGAATTCCTCTCGCTTTTAATTAGTACTTGCAGCGAATTAGGCGGCGTAGCGGATATATTTTATGTACCCAAAATTGAGGAATTTAAATGATTTTATTGGATTCAAAAATCCGCCTTGCTTGTATGTTTGATTAAATTTTTAATTGGACAGAAATGAGGCTTTAAAGATTTCCTGTTATAAAGTAATAAAAGAAAGTAGTTCCAGTATTTATACGTTATGTATTATTATTTATAAAAATTACTCACCATTTGAGTGGGCGATTTCGGCTTTCTCTGGATATCTGGAATTTTCTGGCAAGCTAAAATAAAATATAAATGTCATTAAAATGAGCATAAAATGAGTCTAAAATGAATAAAAAATGGGAAGAAAATGAGTTAAAATGAGCTGAAACTGAGCTAAAAATGGTCTAAAAATGAGCTAAAGAAGTAAACTGAACATGGATTATAAAATAATGGGATAAAAATGAGCAAAAAATGAGCCCGAAATAAGCTAATAATATAATCAAAATGTGGTAAATGTAATTTAAAATTATTTAAAAATAAGCTAAAGGAGTAGACTGAACATGGATTAAATTAATGGGATAAAAAATGGGTTAAAAATTGGCTAAAAATTAACCAATTTACCACATTTTCACATTAGAAAAGTGGCAACTAAATTCACGAATATAATCTTTACCTTCTCAAATTGGAAGCTTAACAAAACAACAATTTTCTGAACGCCAAATGGTCTCAGCACCCGCACTAAATTCAATTTAATTTGCCGAATATATTTATCGAAATATGTGGGTTACATTTGACGGCGCGCACCGATGATTTCATCCCGACTTTTATATGGATTTAATACCACCATCGGCGCAATGCCCATTGTGATGCAAATTTCCACGGAAAAATATTTGAATAACGTTCCTACATACGCGAAGTAAACACGAGAACGCCGAAGGAAATCGGCATGCATATCATCGTGAATGTATGAAAATTTAAAAAAGATACGTGCTGTTTTTAGAGAGTCAATATCTCCGTCTTGCGGGATATTCATCTAATGATATTCATGATTTTTTGCCCGTCTGTTTTGCTCTTATTCTATTGTGTAGTTGCGAATATAAATCGATGAGTGTATGAAAAATATTATCGATATCTACGATTTAATTGAGAGAATAGGTTCAAACAAATCTTGTCAAAATGTCCGAATTAACGAGCCCGAATAAACAGACTTGTTTGTATATGGATTGACGAATTGTGGGTAGTGCTTATAACAATGCATTAAATAGGCATAATTGCTATGCAGGGAGTGTGTTGTGTAGGCACTTCACTCAGTGAAATAAGAAATTAAAAGGTAAAAGAGGAATAATGGTTGCAAAAGTGTAAGGTCATTATGACGAGCTTACATTGTGAAAAATTGCAATCGTTAGTTAGAGAGGAATTGGAATTTTTGAAGTGGGAAATATGCTTTATATGGGATGCAAAATTTTTCGAAAATTTGACACTAAAGGATGGATGAATCGATGAAGATGAATTGTGGAATCTCAAATCAGTGAACCAGTCGGTTAAAATCGGTCACAGCTTTATTATTAACGATCATTAAATTAGAATTATAAATATACTTACTGACTGATTCGATGACTTCAGCCAAAAGCACCCCATCGCTGCAATCAGTAGCCAACGAACTCACTCGCTTCTTGCTCCTGGCCTTTTCCAAATAATGATTCGCCCAATCGGTGTATATCTGAAACAAAACCAAAACATTACTTAATTAATAGGAACCTCAGTAACCCCTTTTCGCCTCCACTGGCTGGTATATCCTTTCAAAATTCGAATGCACGCATCGCGGTGGTTGGTTATTACATGCTCGAGATGCGTTTTCGGTGGGTTCCAGGAGGCCGGAGCGGCGGGAAATCGCGGGATTCCTTCAGGATACACTCGCGCAAATAGCTATTGTAATCCGGGATTGTGTCATTACGCTACATTCGGAAACCTCTGTAACCGACTAAGAGGGAAATTGGGTGATTTCAGTCGAAGGGTAGGGAATTTTCATACAATGGCGGAGAGGCACGCGATCATCTAGATTAAGAGACTACCCCGTTCTGATAGAATGAATCCTAATTAGGGACGGTAGGGTTGGCGGAAAAATCGGGTTAATGCTGAAAAATCGGGGTGTTTTAGAGAAGGAAACACACACACAAATAACACAGTGTAGCGGGTAGATAAACTATCGAGCATTAGCAAAAAAAATCCTATAATTTATCTAATACAAAACAAAACTTTTGCTCGTGAAAATCGGAAAAAATTTCTTACGAGTATAGCCCGATCGATATTTTCCGCTTTTTATTTCCGCGCCGAAACAAAAAGCCGACGGTGTGTTCCGCCGTTTCGCAGGCGGCAGGTATCAGATTAAGAAGATATATGATTGCCTGGCAACTTTTCCCTTCCCTCGCCCTTTAGACTTTGGCCCTGAGAAAGTATAGATTTTCGGCTAAGACGCTCCGCCGACGGGGGGACACACGGCACGGATATAAAGATGGTGTAAATAATGCACCTCACGTACCCACGCCGGAGCATTCGACTCTAATGGCGAAAGGAAAAGTCCACAAGCAAAGGGATCGATGTTGCCGATTTTTTTTCAATGGATCTACTTTAAAAATGTAAAAAATGGATCTGCTTCAAACGCGTTTTAAACGCGCTAAATATACACAAGATGAATGATAGACCGATATGGTCCATTCAAAGGTCCACTATGGTCCGTTATAGGTTCATTATAGCCATTTGTAGGTCTACTGTGATCTCGTATAGGTCTCATTGTGGTCCATTTATATGTCCATTGTATATATAGTTATCTTATATGGTCCATTCAAAGGTCCACTATAGTCCATTATAGGTTCAATGCAGTCATTTGTAGGCCTACTGTGATCTCGTATAGGTCCATCAAGATCCACTGTAGCTCATTATACGAACACAATGACCTCTTATGTCCCATTTATATGTCCACTGTTTAGTGTATTGAATAGGTCTCTTATGGTCCATTATAGGTCCATCATGATCATTCTATATCTTAGAGCGATAAAAGCATTGTTCAAATGAAATTATACAGACTGTGAAAGTTAATATAGATGATTAAATTGGGGACATTAGGCGGTTTCTATTTGAACCGTGGAAAACCTGGCACAGGTGAGGGAATAGAAGGAAAGGGCTTTTCGATCCCGGCGCGGCGTTGCCGTCAAAGAGACGCTATATTTTCCCTTTTTCTTTTCTCTGACGCGTGTCTTTTGATGTCAGAGGTTTTAGCGATCTGTACATTTTTCATGTGCGCCTCTCAGGCTCGCGGCGGCCGCAAGAAAAACCGTCATTTTTCACGTCAAATCTTAGCCGAGGCTATTTGTAACGTTCCGCATCGAGAACAAACCCAGACGAGAACGTAAAGTTCGGGATTTTCACGTAACAATAAAGTATCGGCTCTTAAAGTATTACCCAACTTCTCGAAGTTTCAATTATTTACATCGCGAGGCTCGTGCTGTTTTAATTATTACAAACCCCGCGCTATAACTTGACACGTAAATCCGATGTGTATCGAATTCGCATAAAGCCCACCCTTACGTACGTCGGGGAATTAAAGTATAAGACAACTTCCGATAGGGTTGCCGCAAAAGGATTAAATTACAAATTGTCTTGACTCAAATAGTGCGTATCCTTTGAGACGGTGAGTGCAGGTGGTGGATTGCGCGGGGTATATGGGGTTGTTTTCCAATTCGCTTTGACGCTTCCCGGACGCCTTTACCTACTCAAACAACGCCGATTGAATGTATTACGATGTTAAGTAGAAGCTGGTTTTCATTTCGAAGTTGTTTGTTTACCTATATAGGGAAATTAGTGAATACAACATTTGTATGTGGCGTTCTGGATTTTTATTCTATCTGGATTCGATTATTGCACGTATACCATCTGGCTTAAATCCCGTATTTACTCGGGAATTCGCCCCCCATAACAAATTGTTAACAAACCGAACGAAAAATGTTATGATTGCAAATCGTTCCCCGACCCTGCTGATAATTCCGCATTATCTCCTCGTCTACAGCAAAATCCGCAATGAAAATCATTGGCGTAGTTACGAAACTAACTCCCATTTACCACTCCTTCAATTGAATCCAATTTTACAAAAAAAATAAACAACCAGCAAATGTAATCTCACAGTTGCTCAAAAATTACGATATAAAATGGAAAATTTATAACTGATGAGCTTTCGGTCCCACCTCAACATTTTTCTCCTTCATCGATAATTTTCCATCGTAAATAAAGCAGATAAAATACTATCTGACGGAATTAATGAAGGCACGTCCCTGCGAGCAGATTCCCGAGAAGGGAATAATATCGAAAGCTGGAGGGAGGGTACAGATATTGCTGGTTAGTTTCCGAGTCATTAGGCCAGATAGGCGGAAAATTGGGGCGATATTAGAGAAAGGATCATTGAAGTTTGTGCGGGAGAGTCTGGTGTCGCGGCCGCTCGCGATGCTCGGGGAAAGTTTTATTAAAGAAAATCAAATGAAAAGTACGTTTTCTTTTTCGTTTTTCGGCGAGTCGAGCATCGTTGGTTCGCTTTGATATCATTCGCTTTATTTTCTTATTACTTCGTATCTTCGGGAAATGCGAATTTGCCGGTGCATGTGTGCGGATTTTTATTAGAAAATACCTTCCCCAATCAACGCTAATAAATCGCGCAAACAACTCGATGCGTTTCACCCCCGATTTAACCCCTTGTCCTGCGTTTTCTATCTCTCGAGTGGAGCGCACAAATAATCTAAAATTAATTAGTATTCAGCTGAGATACAATTTATGTACACTCGATTCAATTAGCTAATTAAGTTATATGATCGCCCCCAATGCCGCGACCCTTCCGCCAAATCCTTTTTGTGCCTATAATTTTACTATAGTTGTAATTAAAACGGGCGACGGAAAAAGTTCTAATACAGGGTGGACGCCGGTGGAATAGTAATTTTAGTTTAATCCTGCGATGAATAAACAGCGAGTGAATTTCATTTCAGTAGGTAGTAAAAGTTCAATTCGTTTGCAGCATTGTTTACAGATTATTCGAGTTAATAGGCTTTAGAACGTGCAATTAACAGATAATTCTAGTCCGAAATGTTTTTCTTTTTGTATTTTACAACTTCCCGATTATTTCAAATTTTCGTTTAGAATGGATATCTGCGGTCGACATATTGTATATACATTCCCGTCGTCGAAACCGTAAATTCGACGAGTATTAGGTTGAAATAACAACGCGCCGATTTTTATGGGTTTTTAATTGTGAAATGCTGGAAAACTGATAGAATTATCCGCGCCATTCTCGATTCTAAATCACTTCCTGACATATTCAAATATATAAACATTGCATCGCATTTTCAATCGGGATATACAACGCGCCAGAGATATTTAATTATGTATTAAAACGTATCTAAAATTTCTTTAGTCCACCTGTTACCCCAAACATTCGATCCTAGGCATCGTCCATCCAAAACAACCCTTGCTATATCGGGGTTAAACTGACACTTTGATTGATGGACGGCTCATGAAGATCATTTACGGGCCAACGTGATTGATACGTATAAAATATGATATGCTGTCAATGGGTGTTTACCGGCCGCTGTTAATTAATAAGGAAAGCTTTTCCAAACGCGGGAAATGCGAACTTTCCCGATCGCGTTTCCACTTCTCCGAGAAGCCGATGCAATTAACTAATGGATTATTACTAATATGGTTGTTGGATGAACGCGAATCTAGTACTATCTTCTAAAAAAGGAAGAATTGGAGGGTAAATGTCACTATTGTCAATTGTGTCAGAAGTCAGTTTTGTAATGAGAAACTGTTGTAAAGAGAAAGAGTAGTTTTCTTCGCAATCCAACAATGGTAGTCATAATTTATGTGTATAAAAAATGCGTACATAGTTTTATAAATCTGATACAAGGAGTACGAAAGCATGTTTGTTATATCGCAGAAACGTGCTGTGGGATTTTCTCGAGTGCCATCCGATGCAACATTTAATGCCTCTTTGAAATAGCCGCTCGCTGGCAAAACGACCTGGATTTATTTCGATATACTAACCATAAGGATGATAAATGCTCGAATATCGCGCTTAATTTTTAATCCGCCGCGATTTATTCGAGCTTACAAGATCGCTAACGAATATTTCGTATTGTTTCCGCGTAAATTTCAACCGCGTGTGACGTGCAGAGCGACTGATACACATCGGAAAGTCTGTTTTCGAAAACAGAAAGAAAAAAAAACGGTTCGCATGTGCACGAAACGTCCGTCGATGTTAATATGCATGCTTTTCATTCCGAAATAAGCAGATATATTAGAAGACAATGCGTTATTGTGTGAGCCAGTTCAATTAGAAAGGGCTATAAGGCACGCCGTGCATTAGAATCGAATCGTGACAAAATTTAATCTTCGAAAGGAATTAACTGTACCGTACACGAAAGGATAGTTCACACTTTTATATTACGTGCACAATAAATTCGAATTTACGGTGCATCGTTACTTAAACAAATTAGACGTATATCCGTCCCTATTCGCGCCATTAAGTACTTTAAAAAACATAATCAATTGTATCGTTCCCACCATCAGATACGCTTTGCAATCTTCAATGAGAGTTCAATTTGGGTCTTGCAAATACGTCGACGGCTGCATTCATGCATCAATCAATCCCTGACTCACTCGCTAGGCCATATTAGGGAC